AGATTTGAAATAAAAATCAAAAAACATTACAGCAAAACTGCTCAGCATTTCATTAAACTTAGTAAATCAAATACCACAATAGTATAAACTAAGATAATGCTATTGCCCTATAGACGGGGGGAGGGTGGTTGTAGCAGAATATAAGAACTAATTAAAAGTTTCTGTTGAATTATCTGGCCACAGTGGAAAAAACATGCCTATTGAGCCCTATGTAAGCAATAGAAATATTTATCTCAATTAGAATTTTAAGAGCAGTGTTTTCAATCTCACATTCTGCTTCTCTTTAGGATCAACATTCTCACCACGGAACCTAGTGAATTAGAAAACAGATTAAACCATAAGTGTATTTTCAGAGGCAGTGACAAGTTGATACCACGTCCTTGTGTTTCCAACTAACCTTGGCATTAAACTTGGGGAAACTCTAGCCCTTATACTTTGTGTAGTACCTTCTCCTGAAAAAGGACAGCAACAGGGGAATTATTTCCTCAAGTTTCAAAAAAAAATTTTTTTAAAAAAAAGGAACACTGAAAACATACTTGGATGTTTACCATGTCTGGCATCTGTTGGCAGTAGGACTTAGAAACATGGCTCCTCATACATTTATATTCTATACATGCACTCTGTCTCCTAAGCTTCATACCTCAACACAACACTAGGGCATAGGTCTACGAAATCTAAGCTCACCTCTGTGACAGCACCTCATATCCCCTAAGTTCCAGACATTTCTGAGTTTCCTAATCAAAGTCTAAAGGTCCTACAGCTGAAGATAAGCATGCACCAACTGCTTCAATTATTGGGCACTACAACTGCAGGAGAAGGGCTAAGAGATGATCCCTCCTTTTCCTCAGTTTGGGGTGCTATACTGAGGAACTGCCTCTAGCTGTTCATGTCAACACATTTTGCAAGAATCCAGTATCTTCTGAGACTGTCTGTTCTTCTGTCTGATTCAGCTGAAATTGGCTAATGGATTTAAAAATTGTTGTGGTAATGGGAGAAAGAGTGATGACATTGCCAGAAAGGCAAGAAGGCAGAGATAACTCAAGAGCCTAATTTCCTTACAGAATTCTGGCCAAATATGGTAAAATAGTTAAAAATTGCCACAACATTGACATTTTCACATGATAAGGTTATCTAAAGCATTTGCAAAGCTAAAAAAAAAACCCCAACAACAAACAACTACTGTGCACCTCCCCCTGGGTATTCCCCATTTCCAAAGTAATAAAATTCCTGCATCTTAGACTCAGTATGTCACAGGATGCAACTGGCACAAGGACAAATATTACCCACAGGAAACATTTATAAGACAGGTTGATTTTTAATCCTTTTTTTTTTTTTTAAGAGAGTAATGGACAGGGTTGAAGTGTTTAAGTCCATTTCAAAGTGAAATGGATTTGTGGATAGAGTGCTTTCATGATCTATGCCTTCTATCATGCAGCTCTGCTTTTTATCAAAATGATATCCTACATAAAGTATATCCAGTGTGACAATTTAGAGCATTTATCCATATTATTCTTGATACAAATCTGACATACAAAAACGGCACAATGCTGAATGCTTTTATATATGTATGCATGTATATACACACATACACTGAGCTAGACTGGCGTGAATCACATTTCTTCTAGACCAGTATTAGCAATTAATCAATACATACTTAAATGGAACTCATGCAGAACAGAGTTTGTTTTGTCTTTTCCTCATGTCTACATGTCATCAAAAGAGAGACAATTCAGGAAAGACAGGCTACAACCGGACTCCACGGTGTAAAACAAGGCCTGGTTAAAAAGCAGATCACAGCAAGAAAACTATGATCCAGCTAGTCATCTCAATGATCTTTGATACCCATCCCTGCAAAGTCCTGGGAGCTGTAAGTGATGCTGTCAAGTACTGTATTGTCCACTGATGAGCCATGAACTGTGCACCATGTGCCAAGACACTGTGCTTCCATCTAACATATGCCTTATGTAGACACACCCTCCTACAGTCAGTTCCTACCAAGGGATTAATTTAACTTCAAACCTTTAGCAACAAGTCAGTGCACACGTTCCAAATCTGCACTCCATGAACCCATATGGAAGCCTTCTGATGAAAGCCAGTGCTTACAGACTCTTAAAGCTTAGATACATGCAAGTGAACCAACTGACAGCAGTGTGGAGTACCATGTGCCTTGAATAAAGTCTGTAAGATAATTTCCATTTTCAGAAGCATCTAGCACTACATTTTGTACTGCAGAGAATTATTTTACTTTATTTATTTAGGTAAAGTAATCTATTTCCTTCAAACTTTATAATTTGCATCCAAAGTCAAATCTGAAATAGGTTGAAGTGGGAATGAGTATGAGATGAAGCCTCTGAATAAATAGTTTGATTTACTGTCCTTTACATACAAAACATCATTTATCATGTGAAAACAACCTTTGTGAGAAAAATAGTAAATTCAGTTTGAACCTTAGCATGCACTTTTTGACAAACTGTTTAAATGAAGTCTAAAAGTTTAATGAAATGTCTTTTGCTTTTGACTGAAATTTCAAAAGCAGCTTTGAGATGTCAGTACCTAGACGATGTTTTTAATCGACATTTATTGGATTATTCAATATTTCAGACTGATACCATTCTTTAGAAAACTGATCATGGATTGAAGGTAGAAAAGAAGCCAAAAAATTGAATGTACAATACTTGTAATTTTCAACAGATGGCACTTCATAGCAAGGAATCCATAGTGTCTAATTAAAAGATAGCAAAAACAATTGGATGTTTGAGTGCATTGACATGCCAAAGTCTGCATCTGAAAAAGCCCAATACCCTTAAATTTGAAAGTATATTTCTAGAAAACTGAAAATACAGAGAATCTAAAGACAAACAAAAACTCTGAAGTAACATTCTATCTCACATATTAATCACATCAAGATATTTTTCACAAAGGCAGGATATTCCCATCTTTTCTTCTCAGGCAGAATTTGCAGGTAGAGTTAAGTTTAAAGATTACAAGGAAAACATGACCATCAGACTATGGTTATTACTGCGTATGATCTCAGAAGAGAATAGAGAATCCTTTTAGTAATGTCTTGTGCAAAACTTTACAGGCATTTCAATGTCTAAAGCTACACAAAGATTTTTAGAAGCATTTGAGCTAAATAAACAAGAAAGGCCTGGGAGCGTTGCTGCCTCAGTTACAACCCAAGTTATGCTTTTAAATTGTCTGTCAGTATTATCTGAGTGGAATGTGCTTACTTATGGGAGTCACTAAAGGCAAACTGAGAATGACAACATTTTAAAGAAATCCATGGGGAGCTAACAGTACCTTCAGTTACCTAATTGGTAGTTACAGAGAAGAAGTCACACTTCCCGGAGATGCACAGAGAAAAGACAAAAGGCAATGGACACAAGGTGCAGCATGGGAAATGGCAATTAGGTAAGTTTTTATAACAGAACTAGTTGAGTATTGAAAGAGGCTACCCGGGGCATTTGAAGCTCCATCTTTGGAGTTACTCAAAATTTGACAAGGCCCTGAGTAAACTCATCTAGCTTCAACAATAGCCCCGCTTTGAGCAGGGATGTTGGACTACAAGAACACCAGTCCCTTCCAGGAACTTGCAGCATTCTAAATTGTTCAGTAGAAAATGCTACTGATGACACCCAACACCACACCCCCAGGGCATAGCTTCTGAAAGATACTCCCTCAGTTATGACTGAGCCATAGTCTCTCAGACTCCCAAAACAATTCTTCTCACAAAACTAGAGAACACAACCACTTTTTAGGCTGTGATGATATTTCAACAGGATGCAGGAAGTCCTCTTTCTAGTAAACGACTGAGGACCATGTCTTGGTCTGAATCCTCATTCTGAACTAAATCAAAGAAGTTTGATTTTTAAGTTACCTCTTTTTCAAATGTACAATCTGGTTAGTGGGTAACCTTCCCATTTTCTAAGTTAATTTATATAGGATCAAGTCAGCAGCTACAATCGAGCAGCACTTACTATGCTAGACAAAAAAAGGAACATCTAGTTTGCAAATCCTGTGAGTTTACAGATTAGATGTTACCATCTAACAGTATTCAGTTAAAATAAAATACTGTTAAAAATATTCATGCCCATATGTAGAAAATGTAGGCTTATACAATTAGAGTATTTCCCATGCTAGGTGGCATGCAAACAAAATTCTCGTATGTCTGAGCTGAATCCTTAAGGTGATGTGACAAGGTCTTGCAAGAAGTAAGCTTTTGTAGGCGTACAACTCTATCAAAAGGTTTTACTAAACATTATTTGTCCCAGAAACCTTTCCTGGAATACATAAAAACTTTTGTAAATCTATCTTCTGTACCTAAATATCACTAGAAATTACACACATATTTTGAAGCAGAGAGGTTTGCTACTAAAGCAATACAGATTAAGTTCCCCCTTCAGCACTGTGCAAGGGAAAACTTCAGGTATAGGAAGGTATACGATAGATATTGTTACACCTCCACAGCATCTTGCAATGCAAGTATTGGGTCACAAAATGCCACGATAGCTATATTCTTATCTGTTCCTGAAGGAGGCATTCTTTCTCCTGATTGCAATCAAAAAATTTAGGCACATCAGAACCTGATTCAACAGACAAGAAACAAACAAGAAGCAGTGAAAAATACCGCAGAAATGCAGCAACTACAGGAAACTGAAGATTCCAAGATAGATATTGGCCTTGTAAGGCTTAGAGCTCTTATGAAAACACAGCTATAGTTTTAGCACATTTTTCTCCTTCATTGGTAGGAGCAGATTCATCTCTTGCATAGATGAAAAACTCCATACCCAAATGAACTGAAACACAAGCCATTACATACTTCACACATTTAGAATGAACTGGCCTAGATACTTTACAGTTGATTTTAAGATTGTCAATGATTTTGGTGTCCAGGAAAGCGTTACTAATCTAGTATTTACAAACCCTGCTCAGAATGAAGAAGAAGTTTTCATACAGCTTCATCCAGCCTTAATGCTATAAAAAATTATGCCTTAATCCATTTAATTAGGGAGAGACTTCCATATATCTGAATCAGGCTGCTCCCAATCTTCTCCCATTAGTCCTTTCAGGTTCAAATCTTTGAAAAATTCCAGGCGATGACTGCAAAGGGAGGAGAAATAAACAAAAAAGTTGTAAGTCTTGTAGTATGTATCTTAATAAAAGGCAGTATCGTCAATAGTTTCAATTAATCTTTATTTTCAGGTTTTCTTGGGCAAGAAAGTAACCAGCATTTCATGTGTTCATTTTCCAAAACTTGACTTTATAAATAAAAAAACACTACTGTGTTTTTGAAAATCTTATACTGGAAAACACAGAGCAAAATACTCAGCTATTGAACAAGTATCACACAGCATAAAATGAAGTTAACAAAGTGCTCACCTTTTAAACTCCCTCAACCTATGTGGCCTGGAACTGCAGTCAGAGCAAGAGCACAGTAATATCCTGCTTTATGACTTATTCACACTCCAAGAGAGAAAAGTTTACAACTCTTGACCAATTGAAAAATCGTATCACAGGGGTATCCTTTCCTTACAGAAAAGAGGACGACTGGATAGATAATGAAGCTAGTAAATATATTTTTTTCTGTAAGACTAGAAGTCTTGCTTTCTTTTGGACATTATGAATCAGTTCTTGATAAGAATTTCTCCTTTAGGCTACCACACAGAAACAATAGAAGGAAGACACTGAAGCCAACTGCTAATTAATACTGACATTAAACAACTGCCAAACAGCAGACAGAACATCTAATACTACACTAATAATTTAAAAAGGTAAATGGAATTCTCTTATTATGAAGTAATTTGTAAGAGTAAAGATGAACTAAGAGCAATGAAAGTAGCAAGGAGCAACCTCTTACATAATTGCATCTGCTACCAATGTCTGAAAAAGTCAAGGGCTTTTTTGGAAGGGATACTACAGAAAAATAGAAAGAATCCCTTCCTGAAAAATATTACAGGCGTTCTCCAGTTTACCACAGAAAAATAAAAGTATCTATTTCTTATGAAACACTGATAAAGAGAATGTACTTTATTAGGAATAGCTTTGAATTTTTTTTAAATAAACAGTTGCAGAAGCTAAGGGTTTTTTTAAATAAAAGCAAAAAAGGGTAACAGCTAAAATTTACCTTACATGGCTGTCACTGTATGTTGCACAACAAGTTTGCGTAAGGACTATAGTGTACCCTCTAGAACTAGTTCATTTATCCACAATGTCCAGAAGTAGCAGGTTTCATCAAATCATCCCAGTCTCAGAGTCAAAGAAAATAAACAGGTCCAAAACACCATTTAAAAATCAAGATATTCTAGTTTTCTATTGACACTGGGTATACTTTTATTGTACTTCTCAGTTTAGTCTGCCTCTTCAAACTTTTCCATAATATGGAGCCATCTGTAGAGGTGAGGTTGTTTAGAACAGTAGTGGAGAAGCAAAAGATATTTACTGGAAATGTATCTGGTGAAATTAACACTAAGTGGCATTTCAGGAGGTGCTGGAGGCAAGGAAAAAGTAGAACAACCTATCTATGATTTAGCTGAGAAGGGTTATAAAACAGATGCCAATGGTGTTGAATGCATCATTTTCTATGCACCTGGGGATAACACAGAAATCAAGCACTAATTACAGCTATCTGCCACAATGCCTTATACAAAGTACAGTGCCAACAGATTTGGGCCTAATTAAAATACTAGAGGCTCTGAATCTGAAAACCAGAGTAGCTTTTTTAATTATTCCAAGAATAGTGCAACTATATTATAAAAGATCTAATTTCATGCTTACAAATCTGGTTTCTGTCCTTCCTGTAGTTCATGTTGAGGCACAGGATAAAGCGCTTCATATTTTCTCTCTTCTCCTGAGCCATGAATTGCAAATGCATTGAACTTGCTAGTATGTGGTGGAAAATAATTCCAAGGAAGATGAGCTTTACCCTCCCATTTGGTTTTCATTCTTGTCACCTCAACCTCTAAAGGAAGTTCTTCCTTTAAAAGAGATAAAAAAAAAAGAGGTAGTGTCACCTTCCAGTCAGGCAACACGTACCAAAAAACATTTAGTTTTTCTGTATATTATGACTGTATTTGACCACTTACTTTCCATACTCTTCTTTTGCCAGAAAGCAGCAGTACCAAGTGTTGCCCATGGCTGTCAAAAAGATCAGAGCACAGTTTTCTTAAAATGATGCCAAGTTATTAGTGTACTGTTCTGCCACAAATGTGTACAGTCCCCATATTACAACAATTTCTGTACCCAGTCTTCCTCATACATATATCTTACAAGCATTAGAACTGGAAATGCAAATTAACATTTGTAACTTTTTCAGAGTGCTGTACTTACGGACAAAGTTCAACTTCTAAATACTGTTCAGTTCTGTCACTCAGGAAAAATGCTTCTACAACTGAAAAAAAAATAGGCCGTCAGTATTTTATACTAACTATTTTGTAATATCCTGACACCTTCATATCCCACTAAAACAATTCTGTTCTCACAATTTTTGTCCTGTGCCACACCAGAGTTTGTCTAGCTGCGAACATGCTAATGACAGCTTCCTAACTATTTGAAGAGCTATGCCATAATTGTAACTTCAAGAGCTTTTATTTTTAATGCCTATCATCATAAAGAGTTTTATAAAGCACTGTACTAATTTTATTTACTTAACCAACTCCAGCTTTGGAAACACTCATCTTGATGTAGCAGAAAAAACTGTAGCTGCCAGTGCAGTAAGAAAAGCATCAGCACACAGATATTGCTGTGAACAAAGCTGACCAAGATAGTGATCCCAGTCGATCACACTCACAGCGTGCACTCCAGGTTGAGCACTTAAGTACAAAAGTCTGGTGTTTGCTGGTAACCTGAGGATCTAGAGCACCAGAGACCAGAAAAAAAAAAAAAGAAAAGTGGAACATATACTCCCAGCAGAGGACAGACCCCATAACTAAGACTGCTAAATCTCAGAAATAGTATGTCCTGGTTTCGCTCAACATGGGGCACAACAGGTTGAGATAACAACAAATCCGACCAGACCACATTAGAACATATTTGTTACAAGCATTCACTATATTAGTTCGATAGTTGCTGGTCACAATGTTGACTTATTTGCTCTCAAAGTTGTTGTGCTTGTTCTCAGGGGATGTGTTATGCAACACCTTACTTGCTGCATATGTTTCCCATTGTGCTGTTTATCATTTCTGGGAACTGGGTCAAGGTTATAATTTTGCTGTACTTTGTAGCACATGCTTATTATATGATAAAATGTCTGGACGTGACACTAATCTGGTATTTTGTACTCAGCATTGCCATCATCTCTGTACTTTGGGAGCCATCTCTCAGAAATTATTAATAATTATACTGTTTACCTTTTCTCCTCAGAGAGCAAATTTATGGGGGAGAGACCTTCCTTCACCTTCCCCTTCTCCTCCAGGCTAGTTACAATAGTTCTTGAGAATTCTGAATATCCTTGGGATGTTCAAACCAGCATGTTCCTGTTGCTCTTACTCCTGAATGTGTTTCAGGTCTTGTTTAAAGCTAAACACCTATTTAAGAATATCACCCAGAGGTCTATTCTGAGGCTGCATAGTTATGAGTGGCAGGGTGTGTGGGATAGTATGGGCAAGTACGTAGGGCAAGTAAGAAAGTATTTAGCTCTTAAATGGCTTTCCGCTGTAGATGGCTGATTACTGTTCCAGGTGTACCTGAAAGCCACGTGTGACTGCTGAATCATCTTTCAGGAACAGAAAGAAGAACTATAATGGTGTTTCTCACTGCAATGACATTATTAGAAAGCTTTAGGTAGAATTATAATTAGATATGATTAGTAACCTTATTTTATTTTTTACATAAGCCTATTTGGTATAATGATATCAAAGAGGTGCTAATACTGTTCCAGTAGAGCTTTAATCAGAACAGCTCAATAATCAGGAAGTAAGAGAAGTGCTAGAAACATTAAATTCTTGCATTATTCAAAGCAACACGTAAAAGTGAAAGTATTGGCAGGAAAGGAGAAAGAAAACAGCATTACACTAAGTACATTGCCCATTCCATTTGGGTACAGTTTTGAATCAGATTTTATAAGCTGCCCTTTGTTTCACATCTTCCTATTCTTCAAATATACTTTGGAAAAGCGATTACAACAGACAAATATTTTAGCTATTGCTCTCTACTTCTTAAAGCAAAAGTAGAACCTATCTTTAGGATTCCACTTCTATTTACCTACTGCAAATGCATTCTTATATACACAGCACAAAATTATTTTGTTATTCGAATATTTCCAGCTTCTATTATCCCACAAGTTATATCAGTAACCCAGATCAGGAAGAGTCAACCTCATCATTCTTAAAATCAATCCAGCTCATCATACCCCATTTCTTTATGGACACCAAGTGACATATTTGCTTCTTTTCCCAATCATTTGTATTGTTGCACTACAATAAAACAACCACTCACCTTGCGGCCAGCAGCGTTAGTGATGAAAATCAATTCACCACCTAGAAAAAGAGCATCACTCTTGATACAGTTTGGGGTGGTTTACAGCTGACTATAATAGGTGGCTTACAGTTGCTTAAAGAGCTGTTTAAGGGTAAGGCAGTGATTACAACTAAATCCTTTCCCAGTACTTTTCCCCACAGAAAGGAAATTTTTTTACTTTACATTTCAAATACGATCTTTAAAAGCAGTACTGTGACAAAAGACCGAATTGAATTAGATGTTATATACTCACAACCTTTAGATCAGTTTGAAAAAATAACCATTGTAGACTCCTAAATGAAGACCAGGCATATTAACTACAGAGGAACATCAGTGTCTACACAAATCAGACATATTTGCAGCAGAACAGTTACACTTACCCTCATAGTCCCACAGTCTACTGAAAGGTTTCCCTGGCTTTCCAAGTGGTGCTGAAGGATCATTAAAGAAGGGAGCATTAACTTCCATTAGCAGTCCTGCATTGTCCAACTTCAGCACAACTGTCACTGGCTCATGGCTCACAGGTAAACCATCCCATGTGTATTTAATTGTAAATTCCATCTTCATGCACTGCATAAACGAGAAAGGATCTGTCAAAGATCTCAGATTCCATTTCAGCACCAACTAACTACACTGCTTGGCCAGGAAAAAAAGCACACTTTTGTACAAAGTCAATCATCAAACCATGTTTTTAGACTTCAGAAGAGCTGGGATAGTTTAGCTTTATCAAGCAATGAAATAAACATGTTACATGAACGCTTTTCATAGGTTTTTATACCTGCATGGTTACAAACCACTCTGAAGTCTTACCAAGCTTAAGGTATTTCAAATATGTACCTAAACAAACACCTTCCAAAACCCTCAGAAATATTTATCAAGAGAAGAGAGAAACAAAACAAAGTCTCCACTACATGATCTTAGATGGTTTGGTAATATGAGAAAAATAGATTGAGAAAAAAATTCCATGAATCTGAGATGCAAGAAGATGAAACAATTAGATAAAACTTTCCTTTGTGGTCATTGCAAATCTGCCAAACTACAGGATTTCACAGAAAATGGCAAGCACGTCTCATTAAAAACACTGAATGTTTGCAGAGCAACAAGAAGAGAAAACACTGGATTGCAACAGCTGTTGTTACTTAGAAGCAACTGCACAAACCTTAACAATAGCTTAAATCTATTTAATAATCAAAAGAATCAGTGGAGCCCAGTTTCCAACAAGTTTATGGCTCCTTACCCCTCCCCTCCCCAGTATTGCAAGTTCCTTCCCATGTCCACAAAAGTGATCCTTGATTTGTTCCCTTACACATCTCCTAGCCATGCAAAAAGGGAACTAGCACTACATAGCCTGACTGAGAATTGTGCACATTCTGCGAAGTCCTGTGACCAGAGAGGTGCTAGCTCAGTAGCTAAGTTGTAACCACATTTCCATCAACAGGGAACACTAAATTGTGTTATTTCATCTCTACCCAGATATCCATTTTCTTGGGACTCACAGAAAGGTAAGCATAACTTACCACATTCTGCAGGTGTTATCAACAGGTGTACTACATGAGACAGAATGTAACCGCATGCATCACACTTCCTCATGTGCCATAGCCTTGCTCCTATGATTACACATTAACTGTGTCTCACACCCTCTGCCAGAGCCACACCAGCCAGTTTCCATTCTTTGATGTTCATGCTGAAAAGCACCAGATCTGCCCTCTTTGAGTTCAAGTTGGTAAAACAGCTAGAATGATGTTAGGTAAGCATATACTCATCATCAAGGAGATGATGATGTGAACAATGAAGTGTTACAGATTAGAAAAAATCTGAAGCAACAGATTTTGTAATTAGGCACCTTAATTTAAGAAATACAGTAAAAAAGGAAAGTCAAATATTGGACTATCGCTTTTGGCAAGGTTATATTTAAATAAACTGTAAACTACTTAGATTCTTATGTCAGCATTTAAACTGCATGATATGCTAAACAAGCATCAGATGCGCTATATGCAAGAGACCTGGGATAGGCTTAGAAACTATGACAGACTCCACCATCATTAATGTTTCCTCCAACTCAAGTGGCAAATTTCTGGAAGCCAAATGAAACAAGCTGAAAAAAAACAGTGTACAAAGCACAGGGATGGAAGAGAGCCAATAGTGTCCTAACAGCATTCTTAAACCAGCAGAAACTGGCTCATAGTCCAGTATTTAGTAGTAACTCAGGCAAAGCTAAATCATTCAGTTTTAAAAAAAAGAGAGAGAACTAGTAAGAAAAGGTATTCTAAGCAAGTACAGTGACAACTCTTCTGCAGTAATTATGAAGTACACCACCAAGTGAAAGAGCACTATGTTAAATAACAAGCCCTTTTCACAACACAAACAGCTGCTGAAACATATTCAATGGGCTATTTAGCCTTAAACAGATCTAGAAAATATTAATCCACAGGAAACATAGGCAAGTGTTGTGCTTTTAATTTCCTGAGCTGCAAACACCAAGCAGCAGGAGCATGAAGTATCCACAGATGGCAAGACCCTCCCTAGCCTTTTTGGAAATGAACAAGGGAATTCCTGTAAATGGAGTGCACATGCCTTTATGCATACTTACTGTGAAAGGAAACAAGCAGGATCAGTTACTCAAAAGAGTAAAGTTTGAGTAGATGGGTGCATCTAAGAAAGTGTTATGAACGCGTTTTATACTACACTATTAACATATGCACTTAGAAGTCAACATTTCCTTCTATTATTCTATTTTCAGTTTGTGCTAATATATTTAACTATTTGCATTCACTGGTCAAGGCAAATATCTGAAACACCTATTTGAAAATACTGCCAGATTTCAATAGTGGTTTAAAATAATATAGCCTTCTAATAAAAGTAGCCTGGGAAGATCTTAAAATCCAGGGAGAATTACATGACTAGCTATTACAATTCCTGACTGAAGTAAGGGATGTGAAGCTTCTCCTTGCGCGCAAGATTTTAAAGTTTGTCTCAGGAAAATACACCATAGCAAGTTTAAAAAAAGAACCACAGTGAAATATAACCTGCTAAACTACTTTAGACACTGCTGTAACTGTCATGTCTAAAATGAAGATGAGACACAAGATGGATCACACATTTGCATCTATGAGAGACAGATGACTTTTTGGGGTAAAAACCCTAACTCCTGCGGGGACAGCTTACAGTGTACTGAAATGAAGATACTGAAGATTTATCCCACTGTTGTAAACCAATATTACTCCTGAATTAGAAGAGCATGCAATTTTAAAAAGTACCATAAAGTAATAGGGAAAATTGCAAAACACTTAGTAGCTTTTGTTAGAGGTCTACCTAGTGCTAATGGTTACTTAATTCACAGGACCGCAGATCTAAGATTTTCCAAATTAATGGCCCTTGGTGCAAGTCTTAGGTTTATTACATTGCATAGACTTAGGTAAACTGGTTACTAGCATGCTTTTCAGTTACAATAAAGACACCAACACATAGCAATGGTGTAAAAGTAATCTAAAACAGCAAGAGGAGACTTTTCATTACCTTTTAACACTACACCTCAGCCAGTTGTTAATACACAGTAAAGATATGCGAAGGGTAAGTGAAATAGTTTTACAGCAAGTACCTCGCCAGCCATTTGAAAGCACTCACACTACATGGCTTCAAGCTACACAGAACTAACAGCACCTGGCTGGTAGGCTCAGACCTCAGCCACAGGAGCGTTACACCTCGCCAAAAGTACTGCTGCTTGCCGCTGTAATTACCTCACGTCTCTCCTTATCGAGGGGATTTACGTCGTCCATCTCAAGCCCTATGGACGTCGGTAACAAGGTCAAAAACAAGCAGGAAGTAATTACACTGGTGTTTTTCTTAATTGCTTCAAGAAGATAGGGGAAAAGTTGAAAACCGTGTGAGAAACAGCGGCTTTTACTATAGTTAAGGCTTCATTACTAGATACAGGCACGAGCTCCCAGAGGGCTCGACACTGTTCCCGGTTTCAGTTACCCGTCAGCTACCTCAGCCGCTGGCAAGCAGCGGCGGCATTTCCTGAAGCGAAGTTTAACGCGTAAGCGCCTATCATTCACCTATAAGTTCCTTAGAGAAGTTAAACAAGGGATTTCTTACACCTCCACGCATCCGCTGCGACTGTGAAAGGGCCCTCGGTTGCTCCCTCAGCAAGCCGAGTGCCCCCCACCTCCCCGCTC